ATCACCCCTTCATGGCTCTTCTGTGTGCGCCAGTAGGCGACCGATGCGCCTGGCTCAAACGCTTGCACCTTCCTGGGCCTGGCAGCCAAGGCGAGCCGCAGGGCTTTGTTATCCTGCAACTCGATGACAGCCATGCGCGCGGCCTGGCGTACAGCAATGCCTCTCTGGAGGCTCTCTTCATAGAGAGAAGCAGTCGCGGGGATGACTTGCAGGGGTTCGTCTAGGAGGTTTGTCGGCAAGTGTGGATTGCGACCGAAAACAAACTGCGCAGGAGTCATGCCGTACACCTGGATGAGCTCGTTCTTGCAGTGAGCGGCGTACACACATCCCTCCCAGGTTTCCCGGTCATGAGGCATCGTCTCAGCAATGGTCTTCTGAAGAATCCGACCGAACCAACCACCGTGAACCTCAACCTTACCTAGTTGCCAGTGTGCCTCAGCTGCGGTCATGCAGATCTTGCTGCCCGCAAGTTCCTGCGGCACCGTCAGAGCGTCACTCAGATTGGTTTGTGCAGGGTCCAAGGCTATTTCTTGCGGGGTTCCTGCCCATGACACCCACCGCTCGAGCAGTGCCTTCCGAATGGTCTCGGAAGTCTCGCGGCCATGCAGCGGCACTACTATCTGGAAGCTGGACGCAAAGTCAACAATGTTGACCGCGGGAACCTTCTGGTTGGGCTTCCAGCCCGGCAGGTACTTGACATCTACGCCAATGCGTTGATTGAACTGAGTTGCACGGTTTGTCTGGGCAGGTGGCGGAGACTTCGGGGCTGCTTGAGCCTTGCACACATCACATTCAAGTTCCTTGACAAGCTCAACTGCCTCCTTGGAGGCGCCGCCGTGCTTAAGCACACGCATCAGATTCGCAGCTGACGGATGACCAAGGTTGACGTGCAACCGCTTGAGGCTCTGCAGCATTTCATCTCGCTTCTCGGCATTCAACTGCTGCACGCGCGCTGCAGCCAAGCACTCAATGTCCGTGCTGGCTTGGACAAGACAAGCAGCAGAGTCTCGGCGACCAGGCAGCGTGCGAAGCACTGCCCGCATGAAAGCTGGAGGGTACTGATTGGAGAAGCGATTCATAGTTCCACTTCGGTTGCCTGCACCTACCTTGTGCTGATGCTGGTGCTCGCCTTGACACTGCCGCTGCAAGGAGCGCATATTAGCATGCGAAACCAGGAGCCGAGTGCGCTTATGAATCGGCAGTTCGCCTGGAGCGGCCAACCCAAAACAGCACATGTCTACGGTAATCTCGTGCATCGCTCGGCGTAAAGCATTTATCCGAGGCAAGCTCCAAGCATGCGGTCCGCTCGGACACTCAAGGATGGCTTGACCACCGAGGTCCAACTGCATCTGCACCAGATCGGCCGCGAAATTCAGAAACATTCTGGTGAGTCGGCTCTTTTCATTTAACTCTCCCTGATCCATGTACGGTTTGTTCAGATGAAACCAACCACCGTTCCAAGAACACGGTGACCCGATGATAAGAAGCCTGGGCCGGCTCTGGCACACCAATTCCTTAATGGACTCCCGGTGGCCGGGAAGACGGAAATCCCAGCCCGTGGCCAAATCTGCGGAAACGCATCCTAGACCCTTAGTTGCAGCCAGCTTTGCGAACTGAGGAGGAGAAAAGATCTCTACGATGTCTGTGTTGGAGGGCTTGGCTTGAGAGGACGTGCTTATCTCTGGCAGCTGTCGGGCCTGAGATTTCACCTGGCGCCATTGGCGCTTGGACCACTCACTCAGAGCGATCTCGTTCTCCGAAGTCATCGGAGCCGGCGGAGGCAGCACCTGGAAGACGGTACGCCCTACCCAA